CTATGGATAATAAGGTGGATGAGAACAAACCTACCCTCTCCACCGAGAAAAGAACAGGCCAACAATGACAGATTATAACTGCTTCTGAAGAGCTGGAGGAGTGGTGGAATAGGAACTCTTAATGGGAGGATTGGGTTACTAAAGGCCATTATGACAGCAAGAATTTTCTGGAGGGGCTGGGAAGGTGGCTCAGTGGTAGAGCACTTGCCTTGCATGCTCGAGGCCCTGGGTTCGATTCCTCAGCACCACATAAGAAAAAAGCCGGAAGTGGCGCTGTGGCTCAAGTGGTAGAGTGCTAGCCTTGAGCTGAAGAGCTGAGGGACAGCGCCCAGGCCCCAGGACCGGACCCCCCCCCCCCCAAAAAAAAAGAATTTTCTGGAATGTCACCAATTAGGTTGAAGCAGTAAAAACCTCTTATAAACACACTTGCCTTCAGCTGGTAAATTAGATTAGCAGCCATCTATATATTTTCGGAGCTGTTTTTTTTTTTTTTTGGTCCTGGGGCTTGAACTCTGGGCCTGAACTCTTCAGCTTAAGGTAAGCACTCTTCTACTTGTGCCACAGTGCATCTTCCAGTTTTCTGGTGGTTAATTGAAGATAAGAGTTTCATAGCTTTTCCTGCCTGGGCTGGCTTTGAACCACGATCCTCAGATCTCAGCCTCCTGAGTAGCTAGGATTACAGGCGTGAGCCACTGGCACTCGGCTTAAGTTTTTTTTTTTTTTCTTGTAGTTAAAAAAAATTGTTATTATAGAAGTGATGCACAAGCTGGACTGGGGATCGTGGTTCAAAGTCAGCCTGGGCAGGAAAGTATGTGACACTCTTATCCCCAATTAACCAACACAAAACCAGAAGTGGCGCTGTGGCTCCAGTGGTAGAGCGCTTGCCTTGAGCTGAAGAGCACAGGGACAGTGCCCAAGCCCAGAGTTCAAGTCCCACGACTGACCAAAAAAAAAAAAAGGTTATGCACAGAGGGGTTAGAGTTACATAAGCCATTTCTTTTTGGACATGTCACCTCTTTTATTGTTCTCTCCCAATTTTTCTCCCCCACCCCCCAAGTTGTATAATTTATACCACTGCTACATTTGTTCACCCTTAGTCCCTCCATTTTTGTGGATTTAAACCCTCCCTCGCCCTCCAAAGAAAGATAATCAAGCAAACAAGATAAAAAGAAAAGAAAACAGCCCAGAGTTGGTGGCTCATGCCTGCAATCCTAGAAACTAGGAGGCTGAGATTTGAGGATTCTGGTTCGAAGCCTACTTGGTTAGGAAAGTCCATGAGACTCTTATCTCCAATAAATGACCCAAAACCAGAAAGTGGAGCTATGGCTAAAGTGGTATAGAATGCTAGCCTTGAGCAGAAAAACCCAGGAACATCACCCAGACCCTGAGTTCAAGCCCCATGACTGACCAAAAAAAAAAAAATCTCAAAACAGCAAGAAAGAAACCTCTTGTTTCCATTTCCTGGAGTTCATTTCCATTAATATTATTTTATACTATCAGATGCACATAGGCATTGTGACTTTGTATTCTTCTCTTAAGAGTGTCCTTGGGGCTGGGAAGATGGCTCAGTGGTAGAGTGCTTGTCATGCGTGAATGAGGCCCTGGGTTCAATTCCTCAGCACAACATAAATAAAAAACGCCAGAAGTGGCGCTGTGGCTCAAGTGGTAGAGCACTAGCCTTGAGCTGAAGAGCTGAGGGACAGTGCCCAGACCTAGAGTTCAAGCCCCACAACCAACCAAAAAAAAAAAAAAAAAGAGTATTCTGCTGGTAAAGCCAGGTCCTAAGGGTTGGATTAAGGACAAAGCAATTCCAGGAGGTTTACAATCACAATGTTTACCAAAGTTTTCCAGTGGTGCTGAAGCTTCCTTCCAAGTTAGTCTGCACTGTTGTCATTTCTTCTTACTTAAAAGACCTTCCTCAGAATCCTAAATAAACCCATCTTGATATTCAAAGACTTGAGATAGCGGAGTTTCCACGCCTCGCCTGAGGGTAAACTTTACCTGAAACCTTAACTGTATGGTTAATCCTATCTTTCTTTTAGTAATTTGTATTAAGTACCTCTGGGATAGACTTTGGGAATCTGTTTTCTGTAGTGTAGACTCCAAGTCATTCTTATCCTTAGGTAAATTTGGGGAGCTAATCCAGGCTTGGGCAATTCCTGTGAGTGCATTATCCCTAGGAGTTTGCAAGAAAGCCTACTGGTGCCTAAGGTGGAATCTGAAACACATATGACTATCTAGTACACAAGCAAGAATTTGAGGTCTAACAAAACAGATCTTTGAAAAAAGTACCCTATACTTTGCAATATTGCACATACTATTTACATAGCGACATTTAGGACTCCTAAGAGTGTAGGCCAAGGATTCTTGTCCTAGTTTTAGGGATGAGGAAATCCTGTCATAGCACAGCTTGTAATATTGTCAGACAGCAAGCAAATGGAAACACAACACAAAGGAAGATGACTACTTTTGCAAAAGTATATTTTCTTTCTTTTTTTTTTTTTTTAATCGGTCATGGGGCCTGAACTCTGGGCCTGGGCCTGTCCCTCAGCTCTTCAGCTCAAGGCTAGCACTCTACCACTTGAGCCACAGTGCAAATTCTGTTTTTCTGGTGATTCATTGGAAATAAGAGTCTCTTGGTCTTTCTTGCCTAGCTTTGAACCTTGATCCTCGGATCTCAGCCTCCTAGGTAGCTAGGAGTACAGGTGTGAGCCACCAGCGCCCAGCCAAAAGTATACTTTCTAACACAGATATTATACAAGGTTTGAAGGAATTTGGAGCCCAAATTAGATACACTCTAAAGAAAAAAGGAGTCAAAAGCTTCTCCAAGCTAGGAAATATGTATGCATTTAGAAAATTATTTTCTACAGGGCTATATACTTTTTTTTTTTACACTGGGTCATCATGTGAGCTGTGCAAGTTACCTTTTCCACAACCATATACTGTACCACAAACCAGTCTGACCTGCAAGGGAAGTGCAAGGTTTGGTCATTTTGCAATACTCTGCTGCTTAACCAGTTTGTCTTTGCAAAAGCAACACATGGCTAGGTCAAGATGGAGATATCCTAATGAAGGGAGGGAGCTTATTAGGTGAGGTCTTGCCTTCCATCCAATCTGGGCCTATGTAGGGCTTATGATGCAATAGATATGAAAGATTCCATTTTATCAAATTGTATTAATGGCCTTTCTGGATCAGGCATTGTACTGGTAGCTGTGGGCTAGTTCTGAGGTATTCAGAGTTTAGGGAGGAGAGAAAGGAAGACATATAAACTAGTGATTACATAAGTAAGGAAGGATTAGAAAGCAGTTGAAGCAATGATCTACTGTAGTGTAATAGAGCAAGAATTAAAAGTTGTTCTGGAAGATTCTGAAGATTAATGTTTTAGGAAAGTAGCATTTGGTTAGAAAGTTGATTCCAAATTTTCTCACCACAAATATCTCCTTGTATGTGGAGTAATACATATACATGTTAATTAATTGAGATAGCCATTCCTCAATGTAGACATATTTCAAAACATCACGGTATATAACATAAACTCATTCCATTTTTCATTTGCCAATTAAAAATTAATTTTTAATCATCTCATAAAACATTCAAAACAAGTTTAGCCTTATACAATAAGGAAGTTGTTTGACTAAAAAAGGTAGCATGTGAGCTGGGAATGTAGCTTAGTAGTAGAGTGCTTACCTGGCATGCATGAAGCCCTGGGTTCGATTCCTCAGTACCACATACACAGAAAACCTCAGAAGTGGCACTGTGGCTCAACTGGTAGAGTGAGAGCCTTCAGAAAAAGAAGCTTAGGGACAGTGCCCAGGCCCTGAGTTCAAGCCCCAGGACTGGCAAAATAAAGGAGAATTTCCACTGAACCTTGAAAGGTATGTAGGTATTCCAAAGATAAATAAAGATTATATAGCGAAAAAATCTGTGAGGAAAGGTCTCAGAGGTCTAAGATTAAAAGATATCTAGTGGATTATTGCTTGGGGCAGGGCTGCTAGGGAGAATTCTTTGAGCCTTTTTATCTGTGGAGCAGGGACTTGTAACAATCACACCCAGTTCTCTGCACATCATTAAAATTAAATTTGTAGACTGTGTAATAATTTTTCAAGAGCTTTATGAAAATTATTGATTATATAGCTTTCTTGGTGTATACAATTCAGGCTGGCCTGGACCACTCAATCTTCCTTTGTCAACTTCGTGAGTGCTGGAATTGTAGGGGTGTATCATCTTCCCTTTCCTTCCCAGGAGTATTTCGAGCAACCTATCCTGGGTAAGCTTTGCTGGGCTCTACTAGCATGTACAGATTGCTAGTTTATTTGGATCAGAGTTTTGGATACATCGGAAGATTATTGCAGAGATCGCATGCTGAGGGGTTGTAGAGTCAAGTGGGACTGAACCTTGTTTAGTTTCATTTTGAGATAAGGTTTTTCTATGTAGCTCAAGCTGGCCTCCAATTCAGGATCTTCCTACCTCTGCCTCCTAAAGAAGTACAAGCATAAACCAATATACTTGACTTGAAAAGTTTTCAGTAGAACAACACAGTCATATATACATCTTAGACTGACCCCTCTGGCTGTTGTGAGGGGCTTTGTTCAGTTAGAGCAAAAAGTCATGGGCTTAAACCGAGTCCGTAGGGCTGGAACAGGATGGATGATCCTAAGTCAGGTCTTAGAAGCAGAAGCAACTAGAGTTGGGTGCTCACTGGGTGCCTGTGAGGTAGGGAAAGGGCTTGAGACATTTCAGGCAACAAGGGTAACTGCCAAACAAGTGCAGTGAGAGATGAATGATGTGTGACCGTATCCAATCCCCTCAAAGTGGTGGTGGCTGGGGAGGAGCATATCAGAAGACAGAGATGAAAGAAGTTTGGAGAGTGGAAGAAATCCCAAGAGGCCAGGTGGCAACTCTGAAGCCCCGCCCCCGCCCTGGGCACGCCCTCGGCCCCGCCTTCTCTCCTCTTCCCGCCCTCTAACCCCTCTTAGCCAGTTGCGACTCATCCTCGAGGGCGGGGAGAAGTGGCATTTGAGTCCTCCCGTATCCCAGCAGGCAGTGCAGTCTGGAGAAGCTGACAAAGGAGCGGGGGAGCAGTCGCAGCTGCTATCCGAGAAGCCAGTGTTGCCGAGGTGAGAGTCCCCCACTGTCCCGTCACCCACTTCCTCTGACTTGTACAAAACGTGGAAGTTACGTGGCGGAGAGCCCCCGCGGAGGGAATGACCCATGCCCAAAGCCGGAGCTTGGCTCGATGATTGACAGCGGGGGCTCCGCGACGCGGGGATGCGGGTGGGCGCTCGGGAGCAGGCACGGGGAGGGGGAGGGAGGTCATTTGTGCCGTCTCTGGCTGGCGATGGCCCGGCCGGTAGTACGGGCTCGGCTAGCTGTTGTGTGCTTTGCTCTTGCCAGGCGAAGGCAGACTCCGGAACGTCACGGTGTCTGCCTGGCGGAGTTCGGTGTTGCCCCGGGGACACGGCTCCCAGGGACAACTCTCGGGCGGACGTTGCGAGGAGGGCTGGGGTGGGAGGGAGATTGATTCCCTGCCCCGGGTGTCACTGTTCTCACCCTTTGTCCAATCCAGCCGGTCCCCTCGAGTGAGCAACTGGAAGGAAATGGGGTGTGTGTGTGTGTCGATGGGGGGGGGGGGGAGGGAGCTGCAGCCAGGAGTCCCGGGATAGCTTAGCTCAGCTCACTTTGCCTGGAGGGAGATGAAAGAGAGGGGGTGAGAGGCTGGGGAGAAGGGTGATCGCCTTTTTGGAATAAAAGGGGGACACAGGGGGAACATGACCTGTATCCTTCCCTCCTTCCCTGGACCTCCACTCGGATTCTGATGGTTGCACCAGCTGCTAGGCTGTAAACAGGCTCACATGACCGGTTTCACACGGAGCCCGCCGGGGTGGTAACTGGGCTCGCTACGCTGGGCCTCAATCAGGTGGGGCTGATGTCTCAGTAAAGAAGCCTTTAATATTCCTTCCTGAAACATCAACCCTTCAGGTTCGGTGGTTTCCCCTTTGGGGACATAAACTGACATCTGTCCTCTTCAATTGAAGTAGCATTTCTGCCCCAGTACAATCGACCACTTTACTTTGGGGAACAAGGGAACAAATAGTAAGTGAAAACAGTCCCAGCCTTTTGACCTTTCAGGGAAATAAAAGGTCACAAAACCTGGCAATTTGGATTCTTCACATTCTGCCTAAAAAGTAGTCCTGTTCTTTCACAACTCGTTGTGTTCTTAAATGTGAATAACAGGCACAGGGGAAAGTCTACTTCTTCAGGCAAGGCAACACATGCGATTTAATACACAGTTGATGATGAAAATCTTGTCCACATACTTCCTGTAAGTATTGGGAAATCTCTTTGCCTATGAAATACCACATTCAGGAAATTGAGTAAGGGGTGAACACCAACTTCTAGATTACACATATATTTGATATAAAGCAGTGGGAAATTTGAAAAACAGGAAACAGGGCCAAATGTGTCTTTCTTTGTTCACATCTATATAACCAAACAGGATGTGAAATTAATCTGCTTTCTAAAGGTTTATAGAACTCTCAAAGCAACATTTACTGAAATACCAACATATTTGAAAGTTTAGAATTTCCCAAATCTGTGAGAGCTAATTGTGATACATGCCTATACATGTAATATGGCGCTAAATATAAAAGACAGAAAGTATAAAGTAACCTTTTTTTGTTATGGGGCTTGAACTCAGGGCCTGGGCATTCTCCCTAAAACCACTTTGATCTCAAGGCTAGCACTCTAACTTTTGAGCCACGGTTCCACTTCTGGTTTTCTGGTGGTTTATTGGAGATAAGAGTCTCACAGACTTTTCCTGCCCAGGCAGACTTTGAACCACAATCCTTAGATCTCAATCTCCTGAGTAGCTAGGATTATAGGTGTGAGCCACTGGTGCCTGCTTAAAGTAACCTTGTATAGTCACACGTAAAGAACTTTTATTTTCTTTAGAAAATACAACAAATTGTACAGAAAACAATACGTTTTTCTTCCTTAAATTATTCCTGTATATTTTTCATCAATTTTATACTGTTTTCCCCAGAGTACATATATGTATTTAATTTATTTTAATTAATTAATTAATTTTTGTCGGTTGTGGGGCCTGAACTCTGGGCCTGGCACTGTCCCTCAGCTCTTCAGCTCAAGGCTGGGGCTCTACCATTTGAGCTATAGCGTCCGCTTCAGTCTTTCTCTGCTTATGTGGTGCTGAGGAATTGAACCCAGGGCCTCATGCATGCAAGGCAAGCGCTCTACCACTGAGCCACCTTCCCAGCCGCAGTACTTTTATATTTAACTCCATTTTCAGTAAATTTTTGGGGGAGAGGGGAATATTGGAATCTGAACTCAGGGCTTCACACTTCCAGGCAGACACTTTCCCTCAAGTCATGCCTCCAGCCTATAAACCTAAAATAAAAAGCTACCCCAGAAGTGGCGCGGTGGCTCAAGTGGTAGAGCAATAGCCTTGAGCTGAAGAGCTGAGGGAAAAGTGCCTAGGCCCAGAGTTCAAGCCCCGTGACCAACCAAAAATAAAAAATAAAAATAAAGCTACCCCATTCCTTACTAAACGTAATATTCTATTTTTTCTCTTATTTTTTATAAAAACATTTAAGATGGAAAATACAGATAAAATCTTTCCAAAAGGTAACAAACTTGATTGCTAGTGTTCCTGTGAATCTTATTTTGCCACCTTAGAGCATTTGGAAGACTCTTGCCCTACAAGAAATAGATTTAGGTGATTTACTCTTTGAAGCCTTCTATTTCCTCATCTGTACTATAAAGTTTTTTGTTTCTATCTCTAAGGGTTCCTGTACCTCTCAAATTCCCCAAAGGAGTGCAGTTTTTGATAGGATACTATTTTTGGACAAATACTAACTTGGTCAAATAAGCTAAGACATTGCTAACAACTAAAGAACATGCAGTAACAAGAGGTATCCAAGGTCACTATAGAAATAGGAATTGCATCCTGAAAAATTCTCATTAGATGAATTTGACCTACCGGTTGACCTGTACCTCTGTCTTCATCAGGAAATTGAAGATGGCCTCGGCTAAATCATACCTCCCAAATTAGAAATAACAGCTCCACTTGACTTTCTTGACCTTCAGGGCATAGTATAAACTCTACTTTCTTTCACTCATTCTGGCAAAGCAGGCTCTGTGATTTTTTAGTGATGAAGTTAGAACAAAAGGATGAGGTTTCTAGAAGGATCTCTCTTTGATGGTTCCTTGGTTAGACTACCAGAACCATTGTCTGCTGTTTAGCTCTTCAAGGTTCAAACTTTAGTTTTTGTCATACCCAAATAAATAGTGAGAAATGAAACTACCAAACAGACCAAGAGGCTCCTATGCAAGCCAAGACATCCTTTGCTCTTGGTTATATGGACACACTTAGAAAATTGCTCTCCAGGAGCTGGAGACCTTTTTCTAGGGTCCACATGGAATTACTTCTTCCAAACCTTGCAGTTGATTCAGCAAAATCACATGCTTAGTTTTTCATAAAACCACTTCCTTGATACCTTTGTACAACTATATTCTAGTCACCTGACTGAACTTTGGTCACCTCTAAAACATCTCAAATCTGTTTCTTCTCCATTCCATCTCCCTTAGACTAAGCTTTCATCATCTCTTCATTGTCAAAGTCATCCAACAGAGATGTTGCTGGTGGTTCTACAGTTTGAACTCTGGGTTGTCGGGCTTAACTCATCTGTCCCTGAGGTATTTTGCTTAAGGGTAGTGCTCTATCACTTTGAGCCACAACTCTTTGAGTGGCTAAATGGAGATAAGAGTCTCACAGGGACTTTTTTACCAGGGCCAAGTGATTGATCACACATATATATATATAAAATGTATGCTATATATAGTATATACATACATATATATACATACATACATACACACACACACACACACACACATATACATAAACAATAAACTGTAACTAGCCTCAGGTCAGATGTTGTGCTTGGGTCAATGGCCAGAATGCCTGCTTCCCATCTCTCCAGGTAGTTTCCTGTTTAAAACCATTCAGAAGTTACACACTGTAGCAGCAGCTCTCAAAGACTGTTGTACCTGAAAGTCACCAAGAGGGCTCATTAAAAACACAGATGGCTGGGCCCCAGTCCCAGAATTTCCGATTCAGTTGGTCTAGTGTGAAAACCAAAAATTGCCACTTGTAACAAGTTCCCAGGTGAAGCAGCTCCTGCTGCCCCCTTGAGAGCCATCCTCACAGGGACTCCAGCTGAAACCTCCAAATCAGGTTCTCTTTCCCATTGTGCTTTCAACTCCCTTCTTGCCACTCCTCCATACATGATGATAATTTCTAACCAAGTACAGTGCCAGCGCTCTCTGTATGTGTCCTTTCTATGCCTCAACACAAATTCTTTCTGGAATCTACCCCTCTGCTCCTGTCACAGAATCCTGTTTGATAGCGCACCCTGTCATGTTCCCAGAGTACTTTGTGTCTACTGGCATTTGAACACAGCATCTCATATCCTGCTAGGCTGAGGTATTGGAAGGGTGATATCTCATTGCCATCTTTTTTTTTTTTTTTTTTTTGTCGGTTGTGGGGCCTGAACTCTGGGCCTGGGCGCTGTCCCTCAGCTCTTCAACTCAAGGCTAGCGCTCTACCACTTGAGCTACAGCGCCACTTCCATCATTGTCATCTTTTTATCTTTATGTTGTCTACTAGCATGGAGCCTGGTACACATAATATACATATATAAAGAGCTGAATAAATGTTGACCAAGTTTGAGATTTTTTTTAAACTTCTGAGACTGGCATATGTACAAAATATGTATTTCATGTAATGAATATAGATGCTATTTTCAGAATTGCACCTATATCTTGAAATGACTGAAGGTTTCAAATCCTAGAAGTAGCATATGACAGGGTAGTATTTTTTAAAATGTATTTCTCTAGGGCATTTTATTTGTTTTGCAGTACTAGAGATTGACCCCAAGCAATGCCACTAAGCTATGCCCTCAGTCCTACGATGATGATTTTAATTAGTTAATATTATTGTTGTTTTTGATACCAGGTCTCACCATCTAGCCAAGGCTGGCATAGAACTCACAGTCCTCCTGATTTCACCTCTTGAGCACTAGTATTAGGTATGTAGCACTCATTTTTTTCTAATTTATTTTATTGTTGTTTTAGAGGTGATACACAGTGGGGTTACATTTACATACGTCAGGTAAAAAGTACATTTTCCTTCACATAGTGTCATATGTTCTCTCATTCCCTCCCATTCCCTCCCTCCCTTCCCTCCCTCCCTTCCCTCCCTCCACAAGTTGTATAGTTTCAGTGCATTCCACCGCTGCACTTTCCCACCCTTTCTCCTCTGATTTGAGCCCTTCTCCCACCTTCCCACAGATGTGTAGATGCAGATGAATAGGTCTGTAGCACTAATTTTTTTTTGCCAGTCCTGGGGCTTCAATGCCTGGGCACTTTCAAGGCTAGCACTCTACCACTTGAGCCACAGAGCCACTTCCGGCTTTTTCTGTTTATGTGGTACTGAAGAATCAAGTCTAGGACTTCATGCATGCTAGGCAAGCACTCTACCACTGAGCTACATTCCCAGCCTGTAGCACTAATTTTTGTTTTTTGGTCAGTCATGGGACTTGAAGTCTGGGCTTGGGTGCGGTCCTTGTGCTCTTCAGCTCAAGGCGAGCACTCTACCACTTGAGCCACAGTGCCACTTCTGGTTTTCTAGTGGTTTATTGGAGATAAGAGTCTCACAGACTTTCCTGCCCTGGCTGGCTTTGAACCATGATCCTCAGATCTCAGCCTCCTGAGTAGCTAGGATTACAGGCGTGAGCCACCGTCACCTGGCTTGTAGCACTAATTTTTTTCAAAGGGTCTGGCAAACTGGCCATAGTGGCCTTGAACTTGAAATTCTCCTATGTCAAGCTCCCAAGAAGTTGAGATTACAAGTGTAAACCACAGCACCTGGCTATTGTTTTTTTTGGGGGGGGGTTCACAGCACCTGACTATTGTTTTTTTTGGGGGGGTCCGGTCGTGGGGTCTGAACTCTGGGTATGGGCGCTGTCCCTCAGCTCTTCAGCTCAAGGCTAGCACTCTACCACCTGAGCCACAGCGCCACTTCCGGCTTTTTTCTTTTTGCCTATGTGGTGCTGAGGAATGGAACCCAAGGCCTCATGCATGCAAGGCAAGCACTCTACCACTGAGCCACCTTCCTAGCCCCATTGTTTTTAAAATTTAAAAAGAATATTACTCAAGTTTTACATCTTGAACATGGAATAGCCTACAACTTCATATCATTAATAGCTGTGAAAGCCCTGACTTTAGTAGCACACCAGCCATTTTAAAAGGATTAATAAGTAATAATAAAAAATCAAAGAAGAAGGGAGCCGAGTTTTGTGTGTGTGTGTGTGTGTGTGTGTGTGTGTGTGTGTGTGTGTGTGTGTTGGGGCTTGAACTCAGGGCCTAAGTGTGTGTGTGTGTGTGTGTGTGTGTGTGTGTGTGTGTGTGTGTGTGTGTGTGTGTTGGGGCTTGAACTCAGGGCATAAGTGCTGTCCCTGAGCTTTTTGGTGATTAATTGGAGGTAAGAGTCTCTTGGACTTTTCGTCCCTGGGCTGCCTTTATACCAGGATTCTCAGATCTCAGCCTCCAAAGTAGCTAGGATTACAGATGTAAGCCACTTGTGCCCAGTGAGAGCTGAATTTTAAAAGAGGTTTTAACAGTAGGAAGACCCAAGCTACAGAGTTGTTATTTACTTGGCTTTGACAAGGACCATTCTGAGAATGGAGGACAGAGATAGCTCTTCTGGCCAGATAAAAAGGCTAGTTTGAAGGTGGGGCTGGGAATCCTAATCAGAGTAAATGGTTCGAGCCTGGGGGGTGTAGTTTATAGTAGCTGGGAAACTGTGGTAAAGCAGATAGATGGCCCCCTCATTTCTGGAGAAGACTTTACTTTGAGTCATTAACTTTTCAGATTTTGCACCATATTGGTACAAGAATCCTCAAGAATCACTTTTGGTCCTTCTTGAAGCCTATGTTTTCTCCAACACAGAGGGGGAAGAAAACAGGTGGAGGATGTGGGGAGCAAGTGAGAATATGCTTTTAAAGTGGTTTCTGTGTTCTTTAATAATCTGTTTTGAATCTATGATAGTAGTCTAGAGAAGCCTCCTGTTTATCTAAGACTCTTATTTATTTATTTCTTTTGTTGGTTGTGAGGCTTGAACTCTGGGCCTGGGCGCTGTCCCTCAGCTTAGCTCAAGGCTAGCGCTCTACCACTTGAGCTCTACCACTTGAGCCACGGCGCCACTTCCGGGTTTCTGGTGGTTTATTGGAGATAAGAGTCTCACAAACATTCTTGCCTGGGCTGCCTTCGAACTACCATCCTCAGATCTCAGTCTCCTGAGTAGCTAGAATTATAGGTGTGAGCCACAAGTGCCCGGCTAAGAGTCTTATTTTTTCCCTTCTTCTGTTCAATACCAAGTGAAGGAAACAGTCACATTTGGGGCACGGTATGTGAACAATTCAGTGTTGCCAGGTGTGGTGGTACATACCTGGAATCTCAGCACTGGGGAGGCTGAGGCAAGAGTTTGGCAAGTTTGAGACCTAGCTGGGTCACATAGCAAGACCTTGTGTGAAAACATTAAAAAAAAAAAAAGGTTTCAGTGTTTATGCTGCTGCTTTGTGGGAGAGTAGTTTGCAAATTGGTCACAAGGTGGTGTGCATACATCAAGTTGTCTTTCCAATTGTATTTAAGATTGCTTCTCTGTGGTTTGCACAGGGACCAGGCCAACGCAGTTTCTGGTATCACACCTTTGCAGCTGCATAGTCTGCCTTTATAAGGTTGAGAGCCTCAAGTTCCAAAGCGCTGCTGGCCCAGTTTGGGGATGGGAGAAGGAAGCAGAAGCAAACAAGGGAAGGGGAGAGGAGAGGTAGCTTGGAGTGCTGGTTCTCTCTGATCATCTCTTGCCCTAGCCTATGTCCACAGCCTCCTGAAGCCACTTGCCACCCTTTGTCCTCCCTGTTTTATTTATTTATTTGCTTGTTTGCTTATTTATTTATTTATTTGTCAGGTGTAGGGCATGAACTCAGGGCCTGGGTGCTGTCCCCGAACCTTTTTGTGCTAAAGGCTAGCACGCTACCACTTCAGCCACAGTGCCACTTCCATTTTTTGAATGGTTAATTGGAGATAAAAGTCTCCAGGGAACTTCTCTGCCCTGGCTAGCTTCAAACTGTAATCCTCAGATCTCAGCCTCTTGAGTAGCTAGGATTATAGGTGTGAGCCACCAGTGTTTGGCCTTGTCTTCCCTTTAGACAAGAAGTGTATTCAGTTTGGGGGAGGGAACATATTCCCCAATAGAGGAGATAGTTGTTAGTAGGTACCTGGAGAATAACCAACAAACTCAGTATCTGCTAAGTGTCAAGTCCAAATTGGAGATATAGAAACACGCACAAAAATCATTATGGCATTAGGACTGAAATCTAATGAAAACATTCACAATTAAGCCACATAGAGCAAATGCGAAAACATTCGATACATAGAGCGAGTGCGTGAAAAATATAAATTGATGCGTTCCCTGGAGATCAGAGTAGTAAGTGTGTGCTGTAGGAGGGGGAATTTGAACTGGTCTTTAAAAATGCACACAAAGTGAGGTGCTGGTGGCTCATACTTGTAATTCTAGCTACTCATGGGCCTGAGATCTGAGGATTGTGGTTCAATGCCAGATGGGCAGGAAAGTCTGTGAGACTCTTCTCTCTAATTAAATCACAGAAAAAGCCAGAAGTGGTGCCATGGCTCAAAGTGGTAGAGCAGTAGCCTTGAGCAAGGAGCTCAGAACAGCACTCAGGCCCTGAGTTCAAGCCTCAGGACCAGGTGGAAAAAAGCATACATTTTTTTACTGCCAGGCAGAAAGAATTAGGCAAACCTTGGATATTAATGTCATCATCAAAAGTTAGCATTAGCCACTGTTACAATTTCCTAATCAGGAAAACAAAGTACAACTCAGTAAGTGAATTTGTTCCTCTTTTTAAAATAAAACTGAAAAGGAAACAGATCAAGATAATGTATGGAAGTGGAGGGCTGGCTCAAGTGATTAAAGCGTCAGCCTTCAGCAAAAAAGCTAAGCAGGAATCGAGGATCTGAGTTGAATCTCCAGTACCAAAAAAAAAAAAAAAGATAATACAGTCTTGGTGGTGACTTGAATTTTTGATCAAGTCTGACAATTCTGATCTTGGAAAGCAGGATCTTTATCTAAAGATGGAAGTATATTTTACCACTACCAAAGAGGCAGGGATTTTGGATTGAGACAACAGATGAGAACTATAGAAGGAAGTATGAATCTAGAGACCACAATTTTTCCTTCAATATCCTATGCAGTTCTGGTAAGTATCTTAATCCTGGGCTTGCTTTCCTCATTTGCCAAAGGAAAAAAACTGGGGCAAAAATACTGACTTGGCACTTGATTTTTGAAAAACAGCATCATAAACCAATTAGAATATAAAAATTATATGCTGATTTTTACCAGTTTAGTATATAATCTCTCTCAAGTTCTTGTGCTTTATTGCTTTGCAATATGGACTAAAGCCCAGATAAAGTGCCAGTCTCCCAGAAACCCATAAATTAATGGTGAGTGTTATGGTTCATTATATCCATTGGCAGTCACCTAATTCTGCTCTGGTGACCTGATGTAATTCTTTCCTAGTTTTTCTTGCCTGGAGTTTATTAGCCAACTTATAGCCAAGAGAAGTGATAAAAGGAAGGGTATAAAAAATAGTAGATTGCTCACACATGATTAAACACTTTAATGGTGACAAGGAGATGGCTTCATTATGATTCACAGAAATGTATGTATATATATACACATTATAATATATATGTTCAACTTTCAAAGTGTTAATGTCACAGGCAAAGAATTGCTTCTAAGCCTTTATTCTGAGCTGGTAAACTTCTACTCTGCTCAGGGCCAACTAACTTCTTAAAGTTAGGACCAAGAGTTTTAACACTGGTCTGCATGTTATTTTTGACTTCATAGTCAGATTTGTGAACCATCTCATACTCTTGTTTTTATCTTTTCTTTTTTGGTTGGTCCTGGGGCTTGAACTTTGGGCCTGGGCACTGTCCATCAGCTCTTCAGCTCAAGGCTAGCGCTGTACCACTTGAGCCACAGCGCAATTCCGTTTTTTTTGGTGAATTATTGGAGATAAGAATCTCACCGAGGGCTGGGCAGGTGGCTCAGTGGTAGAGTGCTTGCCTTGCATGCATGAGGCCCTGGGTTTGATTCCTAAGCACCACATAAGCAGAAAAAGCTGGAAGTGGCACTGTGGCTCAGGTGATAGAGTGCTAGCCTTGAGATGAAGAGCTGAGGGACAGTGTTCAGGGTCCACAACCGACAAAAAAAAAAAAAAAAAAAAATCCTAGTCAGACTTCAACATGAGAGTTGAAGACAGGAGGATAGGCCAGCCCAGGAAAAAAAATGTTAGCAAGATTGTATTTCAGCAACCAAGCTGAGCTTAGAGGTACAAATCTGTAGTCTTAGGTGGAGGATTGCAGTCTGGGGCCTGGCTCAAGTGGTAGAGCACTTGGCATAAGGCCTTCAGTTAAAGCTCCTGTACCACAAGGGGGAAAAAAGAACCAATTAATCAGTCTATTCTATTACAAATTATAGAAACCTTAGATATTAGGCTCTATCAGCTAGTCAGAAAAACCTAGAAACAAATCCAACATTATTATGAACTACATTCATGCTTAGAACTGGTCTGTGTTCCTTCCTCCCAACACTTATATGTGTATTCTTTTTTAAAAACAGGCTCTCACTATATAGCCCAAGTTGCCCTCAAATTCACTGCCTCCAGCCTTATCCTCCCAAGTACTGGGATTATAGGCATGTGCCTCCATGCCCAGCAAGTCAGATTTTTACCAACTATGTATTGAAGAACTGCAGAAGGAATTCAGATAGGCCTCAGGAGTGGGAAGAAAATAGCACTCACAAGGCTTGTGTACTTGACATAGGAGGGAAGGAACCACGTGCACTTATTGACTTTGGATATTCATAGGAAACTCAAATTTGAATGCTGAGCAAGTATGGCCACTTGGGTTCCTTTCAAGATTTCAGAAACTGTTCCTGACTGTCAGTGGAAAAAAAAATACATTGTTGATGAGAGTAAAAAGGATTCTCTTGGGTTTTCCCATAAACCAGGGAAACTTAGTGTGTGCTTTAATTTTCAGCTTTTAAGAATTCTAATCAGCTCACATAGACTCAGTTGGGACAATACTATAATACTAGTCTCCTTTAAAAAAAGTTTACAGAGAATGCTGTCTCTTTGATTTCATCACTTCAAAAGGAGATAATTCATTTGAGAAAGATTTACTTGTATAGTCTTCCTATGTTCTGTATTTGTGTATTTATGCAATTTATCACAGGTTGAAAGTCTATGAAAGGAGCACATGTGCCTTTCTTTGTGCAAGTTGGTAAAAAGCTATGTAAATCAGCCAGGAGGAAAGGTCAAAAGGCATGTTTCAGCAATTTGGGGACCTATTTGAATGCATGTTATATGCTTTTTGGGTGTGTGGAGAGGCTGGATTAATGAAAATCAGTATTATGATTTTCTTTCTCTCGTTCTCCTTCTATTTCTAGATTGCCAAAATGCTTTGGACTTTTTAACTGAATCTAACAAAGTCCAAAATAAACTTGAGACTGTAAAAACAGAAGCTGCAGAAGGGAGATTCAGTGCCAATGCATCAACAAAAAAGACAACCAGAGTTAGTGGAAGGAAATCTTCCCGTTTTTGTGTTTCCCACAGAGCTAATATTTTATGCAGATGATCAGTCAACACATAAGCAAGTGTTGACTCTGTACAATCCCTATGAGTTTGCCTTAAAGTTCAAAGGTGAGTCTCTCAGGTCTAACTTATGAATTTTTAACTAGTCCCTACTAATCTTTTCCTTGCTGAGATAAATTGATTTAAACTCATTAAAGGCCATTGTGATTTTCTCTTGCAGTTTTGTGTACTACTCCGAATAAGTATGTTGTTGTGGATGCTGCAGGTGCAGTTAAACCTCAGTGCTGTGTGGATATGTAAGTCCAAATCACTTCCTGCTCACGTACTTGACAGTGTATGAATATTTTGTGTTTTAACTTGAAAAAGATCTTCCTTACAAGTTACTCCCACATAGGTGGGTATAATCTTTCTAAAATTTTTCTATCAAAAGCTAAGACATTTCTGGAATATTTCAAAACAGGCCAACCAGATGCTTCTCGCTGTATGTACCGTATTTCTTTGAATATCCATTTCCTTCTGGGGGTTTTAAGTTGAGGCCGAGATGTTCATAAAGTCAAGTTTTGACTTATCCTTTCAATTCTTCCAGCTCTCAGTAATAGTGACTTTAGTTTTCTTTGGAACATCCTGCTCTTAAAATGACAGTTGGGAAGCTAATAATACTATAGTGTAAGAACAATGGTAATACAAGTTCACCTGCGATGATTCAGGTAATAGGCCTGCAAGTTATGCTACATAAACAGGAAGCAAGTATATTAGTAGTCATCTAGAAAAGGTTATCCAGGTGCTTCCACTTAATTTCATTTTAGGAATATCAGATAAATGGCTATTGGTTCAAGTTGTTCATATTTAATTTTCTCTTTAGAACTGGTGGTGACCAGATGGATCCTTTGGCCATCCCTTAAACTATCAAGTAAATTATATTGGTTTAATTCTTCTGTGACAATGAGAAGCAGAGCTCTTATGGATACAATTTCATTATTTCAAAGCCATAAGATGATGTTTGGCACATTTCTTTGGCATAGTCTTGCCAAACAAAAAGTATTACCCTTGACCTAATTGTTTTACATTCCCTAGGAAGAAAGAAGCACATTAAACAGACTTGTAGAAAACTTCTAAAAATCACATTGCCTTATACACTTTTTCTCTTTAGAAAAAAATACAGAAGTCTACTGTTAGTCTGCTGGCACTTTGGTCAGACTGGATTACTTATTCAGTTGCATATTTTATGTGTATGTGTATATAAATCAGTTTAAGTGGTGAGTTTTGTTACTTGAACGACATGATACAGTATGTATGTAGGAACAAACTATTTCCTATATTCCTAATTAGGGAATATTACTTTAGACAGATATTTAGAAAGAAATACCATTGTTAAAGGTAATTTTTTTTTTTTTTTACCTCTTAACTGTTTTAGATTTACCCATTTCTTTTGCAGTGTACTCTGAATTTTCTTTGACATCATTAAGAACTCTATGTTCTTGAGGATTGGTAGGAGTCAGTTAACAGAATTTCACCTATTGAAATCATGAATGCGGCTTAGTGGAAGAGTGCTTGCCTAGCATGCATGAAGCCCTGGGTTCGATTCCTCAGTACCACAAACAGAAAAAGCCAGAAGTGGAGCTGTGGCTCAAGTGGTAGATTGCTAGCCTTGAGCAAAAGAAGCTCAGAGACAGTGAGTAGGCCCTGAGTTCAAGCCCCAGGACTAGCAAAAAGAAAAGAAAAAAAGAGAAATTTCTTTGCTCTACTGTGTCTGACAGGCCTCAAAATTTAAACAGCTTTTGTTATTTTTTTGCTGTTTTCAGTGTGATACGTCACAGAGATGTTCGATCCTGCCACTATGGTGTAGTAGACAAATTCCGCCTTCAAGTTTCTGAGCAAAGCCAGAGGAAGGCTTTAGGAAGGAAGGAGGTTGTTGCTACTCTTCTCCCATCTGCAAAAGAACAACAGAAGGAAGAAGAGGAAAAAAGAATAAAGGATCATTTAACTGAGAGTTTGTTTTTTGAGCCATCGTTTCAACCAGGTACTTTGGATTGTTTTAAAGTCTTTTTGAGATCTTACACATTTCTAAGTTCAGTCAGGGAACTAAGAATAGTTATTGGAAAGAATCTGCCACTTTAAACCTATTCAACTACTTCAAAATGAAGCATAGAATCTACAATGACTGAACTAGAACTAGAGGCTGAGAGATGGACACTTGAGCTTTCACTAGACCTGGTTCTAAGGGGAAAGTGTTCCCTTAGGCTTTTAAATAAACATTTATTTATTGTATGTATATGGAAGATTATAGATGTCATGTCTATATGTATATATGTACACATTTGTGCACACACATATGATTGGAGACTTCAGGCACTGTACTTTATGATATTAGCACAATCTGACAATCATGTACTGTTGTTTCTTTGACTTTCCTATATCCTTTCCCATTTAATTAGTTTGAAGGAGGAGAGAGATTGTGTTTGGCAATAGGCCAAGTTTAGCTCACTGTTCATATTATTTTGGAAGAAAAAAATCTCATTAAAGTTGAAGTTAATTAAACTAAGTAGATTATAATATCCCCTGTGGGCTATTAATTGAATCCCTCTCCATTCCTCATTTCCTTCCAGCTTAGATATTCAAAAGTGTTATGATATATTCTTTCAACATTGACATCCTCATTCAGCTCTTCCGACGTCATTCCCCCTCCCTCCTAACTTCTCATTATCTCTCCCCCCCCCAAATCAATTATCAGACAAGGGAGAGGAAATTTTCCATAGAAAAATAGAGACTTTTTGATAGTGATATATGAGTGTGAGACCAGCTGTCCTTGAAATTACAACAATATGTGTATGTGACTTAATTTGTCATTACATCGATTTGTAGAACTATAATCAGTTTGATATTCAGACTTTTTTTTTTTTGTCGGTCATGGGGCCTGAACTCTGGGCCTGGGTGCTGTCCCTCAGCTCTTCAGCTTAAGGCGAGCTCTCTACCACTTGAGCCACAATGCCACTTCCGGCTTTTTCTGCTTATGTGGTGCTGAGGAATCAAACCCAGGGCCTCATGCATGCGATGCAAGCACTCTACCACTGAGCCACCTTCCCAGCCCTGTATTCAGATTTTTATTTCAGTAAGGCAAGGAGTGGTACCTCTTTCCTTTATTGTACCCAAAGTTTTTCTCAATCAATGCAGGGAGTGCCCAGACTTCTGATGGGGCCAAGATTAAGAACTGGATAGTAGATTAATAATGGACCAGGTAGTAGCTTGTAAATTTCTCTCAGCAGTCATTTATTATCTATCTATCTATTTATTTATTTATTGTCAGTTGTGAGTTTTGAACTCTGGGCCTGGGTGGTGTCCCTCTGCTCTTCTGCTCATCAGCTTAAGACTAGCACTCTACCACTGGAGCCACAATGCCTCTTCCAGTTTTCTGGTATTTAATTGGAGATAAGAGTCTGATGGACTTTCTTGCCCGGGCTGTCTTTGAACCTCAATCCTCAGATCTCAGCCTCCTGAATAGATAGGATGACAGCCATGAGCAACTGGGTGGCACCTGATAGTCATTTATTTTAGTTGGTTGTGGGGCTTGAACTCTGGGCGTGGGCATTGTCCCTGAGTTCTTCAGCTCAAGGCTAGCAGTGGACCACTTTTTTGTTTTTTGTTTTCTTTTTTATTGTGAAAATACTATACAGAGGGGTTACAATTACATGGGCATTGTTTTTTGTTGTTGTTGTTTTTTGTTTTTTTTTTGGGTGTGGTCGTGGGGCCTGAACTCTGGGCCTAGGCTCTGTCCCTGAGCTCTTCACCTCAAGGCTAACGCTCTACCACTTGAGTCACAGCGCCACTTCCGGCTTTTTTCTTTTTGCTTATGTGGTGCTGAGGAATCGAACCTAGGGCCTCTGGCATACAAGGCAAGCGCTCTACCACTGAGCCACCTTCCCAACCCCAGCACTGTACCACTTCAGCCACAGCACCACCTCTGGTTTTCTGGTGGTTTATTGGAGATAAGAATCTCCTGGACTTTCCTGCCTGGGTTGGCTTTGAACTGTGATCCTCAGATCTCAGCCTCCTAAATAGCTAGGATTATAGGTGTGAGCCACTGGTATCCGGCTTCAGCAGTCATTATTCACTGGCAAGATCATCTTTTCGATTTTAGACAAAAGAGAACCATTTTCAAATGATGCTTTTTGCAATGCTGGGAATAGAAGAACCTGGGACCTTGCCATACCTACTTAAATGCCCTAGCACTGAGCTACATCCCCAGCCAAGCTGGTTTTTTCTTTTGAGACAGGGTTTTACTATGTAGCCCCAGTTGTCCCTCAGGCTCAAGATTCTTCTGACTCAGCCTCCCTAATGCTGGTATTATGGCATTAGCCACCACATTGGGCTATTTTTCTTAGTATAACTAAGAAAAACTTAGTCTATGTTTAAGAAATGATATTTTTAACTTCCTCTGTCTACTAAATGGTGTCTACTTCCTCTGTCTACTAAATCTGTGGTTTCTAGTGTGTGAAATTTTGTTTTTCATTAAGTTCACCTGAGCTAACATGCCATAATAAATTGAGATTGTATTATTTTTTTTTTTTTTTGTCGGTCATGGGGCTTGAACTCTGGGCCTGGGCTCTGTCCCTCAGCTCTTCAGCTCAAAGCGAGCGCTCTACCACTTGACCTACAGCGCCACTTCCGGTTTTCTGGTGGTTTATTGGAGATAGGAGTCTCACGGTCTCTCCGGGCTGGCTTTGAACCGCGATCCTCAGATCTCAGCCTCCTGAGTAGCTAGGATTACAGGTGTGAGCCACCAGCGCCCGGCCGAGATTGTATTTTTGAAGTTTTTTTTTTTCCTCTAGAATTTTTTTTTTCTTGGCAATAATTGGGGTTTGAACTCTGTTCAGATTTGCTTTGGCATGCTACCACTTGAGACATACCACCAGCCCTGAATTTTGTTGTTTATTTTGGAGATGAGGTTTCATAGATGTTTTCTGATTGGGCTGACTTCAAACCATGATCCTCCAGATCATAGTCTTCTGAGTAGCTAGGAATACAGGCGTGAGCTACTGGCACCCAATCTTAGAAGGTTTTTAAGATGTCATTTTTTCAGGTTTTTACTTTAGAAGAGATTTCAACAAAAGTATATTGTTAGAAGTATTAGGAGGGGCTGGGAATGTAGCTTAGTGGTAGAATGCTTGCATAGCATGCATAAAGCCCTGGGTTCAATTCCTCAGTACCACATAAACAGAAAAAACCAGAAGTGGCGCTGTGGCTTAAGTGGTAGAGTGTTAGCCTTGAACAAAATAAGCTCAGGGACAGTGCCCAGGCTCCTGAGTTCAAGCCCTAGGATTGACAAAAAAAAAAGTAGGATTAGAAGGGCAACAATGTTGACACTCACTGTTAGCAGAAAAATGTTGTTAAAGGCTTCATCATGAAAAACTGGATTTTCAAATATACTAAGAACTGACTGTAGTAGAGTATGTCCATAAATCCCAGGACTGCAAAGGCTAAAATAAGAAAATTTAGAGTTCAAGGTCAACCCTAGGGTAAACAGTAAGTTGAGCTATATAGTGACCCTATCTCAAAAAAAAAGGAAAATGAAAGATCGTGTGTGTGTGTGTGTGTGTGTGTGTGTGTGTGTGTGTGTGTGTGTGTGTGTGTGTGTGTGTGTATGTGTGTGTGTGTGTGTGTTCGTTCGTGTGTGTTCGTTGATTCATTCCTTAGTAGTAGGGCTTGAACTGAAAACCTTGAGCTCTTGCTTAGCTTTTGCACCCAAGACTGGAGGCTCTACCATTTGAGCCACACTTCAACTTCCAGCTTTTTTTTCCTGGTTAATTAGAAATAAGCGTCTCTCAAATTTGATTGCCTGAGTTGCCTTTGCACTGATCCTCAGATCTTAGCCTTTTAAGAAGCTAGGATTATAGATGCAAACCACTGGTGCTGGCTTGAGGAAATTAAGTTAAGTATATATAAAGATATATTAGCTGGGCACCAGTAGCTCACACCTGTAATCCTAGCTACACAGGAGGCTGAGACCTAAGGATCAAGGTTCGAAGCCAGCCTGGGCAGGAAAATCTGAGACTCTTATTTCTAGTTCATCACAGAAAAGCCAGAAGTGGCACTGTGGCTCAAGTGGTAGAGCACTCACCTTGAGCAAAAAAGAGCTCAGGGTTAGTACCCAAGTCCAGAGTTCAAGCCCCAAGACTGGCAAAAAAAGAGATATAACAATAATAAATTTAAAAAGATAAAAAAGTATCCATAATAAACATAATAATATGTAACTTCTCAAATCTCCTTATATAAGTGTTCAATATTACTTTTTAGGACTTTTATATGTACATACAGTTTTAGAGTTCTGAGTTTTTTATTTAATGGATTTAACTAAAATAAAGAGAATCTTGGAACTGGAGTTACAGCTCAGTAGTAGATCACCCACTTAGCAAGCCCAGGGCTCTGAGTTTAAGCCCAAGTACACTAATATTTAAATAAATAAATAAATAAATGGAAGATGTTTTTAAAAGATATAGCTAACGCTTGGAGGGGGTTGTCTTAATTATATTATCAATGTACTGCTATATCTTTGTTCTGTTTGAGTCTATGCCCTCTTTAATATTGTTATAATAAAAAACTGAAAATGACCTAAAAGTGAGAACTGATTAAATTATAAGTGTTGATATAATGGTATGCCAGGCAGGCATTTACAATCATCGATTATTTCATAGAATAATAGATGTTTATATACTGACATAGAGAAAGCTTAAAACATATTTGTCAGTGAATAGAGGAAAACTGTTATGTAAGAATGCATAAAATTATCACATATAAAATAACTTTACATGCTTGGGTGGCCATTTGTAAAATCTGAAAGAATATATGCCCAGTCATTGACAATATTATTTCTAGGATGAGATTATGAAGGAGACTTTGTTTTGTATATTTTTATAACATGTTTTATGTTAACTACATAGTACCAGAAAAAGGATATATTTCCATTTTGAAAATTTACAAGTATTTATAAAAATGGTTTTTGGAACTAGGTATCAGTGGCTCGTACTCATAATCCTAGCTACTCAGGAGGCTGAGATCTGAGGATTGCAGCTTGAAGCCAGCCAGGGCAGAAAAGTCTGTGAGACTCTTACCTCCCATTAACCATAAAAAAGCCAGAAGTGGAGGTATGACTTAAGTGGTAGACTGCCAGCTTTGAGTGAGAAAGCTGAGTTAGAGTAGAAAGCACTGAGTTTTGTCACAAAAAGGTTTTTTTGGGGTAATTTCTCTAAATACTAAAAATTCTTTGAAGTTCTCTTTTCTGTAGGTTTGTAGTTAATGGTGTAGTTATCACAATAAATATTTCCCTTGAAAATTCATCCATGTGAGGGGCTGGGAAGGTGGCTCAGTGGTAGAGCGCTTGCCTTGCATGCCTGAGACCCTGGGTTCAATTCCTCAGCACCACATAAACAAAAAGAAAAAAGCTGGAAGTGGTGCTGTGGCTCAAGTGGTAGAGTGCTAGCCTTGAGCTGAAGAGCTGAGGGACAGCGCCCAGGCCCAGAGTTCAAGCCCCACGACCTGACCCAAAAACAAAACAAAACAAAAAAAGAAAATTCATCCATGTGGACTGGAGATATGGCTGGAGTAGTACAGTATTTGCCCTGCAAACATGAGGCCCTGAATTCAAACTCTAGTACCACCAAAAAATAAAAAGATTATGGATGTAGTCTAGCTCAGTGGTAGAATGTGCAATTTACAAGGACCTGAATTCAATCCCTAGTACTGCTAAAAAGAAAATTCTTTCTTTTTACAAATGTAATTAAAGTAAGAGGAGGATTTTTAGGTATTTATTTATTTATTTATTTTTATTTATTTATTTTTGGGTCTGGTCGTGGGGCCTGAACTCTGGGCCTGGGCACTGTCCCTTAGCTCTTCAGCTCAAGGCTAGCACTTTACTACTTGAACCACAGCGCCACTTCCGGCTTTTTTCTTTTTGCTTATGTGTGGTGAGGAATCGAACTCAGGGCCTCATGCATGCAAGGCAAGCGCTCTACCACTGAGCCACCTTCCCAGCCCCTATATATCATCCCAGCAATTTTTAGGTATTTATGTTCTTGTTTCATCCTAAGCAAGAATCACTATAAAATTTGAGCTTGTTTTCAACTATCTGGTTGGTAAGGTTCAATTCAATTGTGTACAGCTAAGATATTAATAATTTAGAAAAGTTATATTTGATAATAAAATGAGCAGCATTATTTCATCAATTGAACATCAATATTGTGTGGCTGTTGACTAGTCATTTTAATTAAAGGAAGATGAGTGGGAAAAGCCATATAACAGAAAATGCTGTTATTTGATTTCTTAAAGATGGGCATATATATTATATACATACAGCTAGAACTATGTAATAGTGGGCTTGACAACAGATCTTTTTATTTATTTATTTATTTATTTTTGGGTCTGGTCATGAGGCCTGAACTCTGGGCCTGGGCGCTGTCCCTCAGCTCTTCAGCTCAAGGCTAGCGCTCTACCACTTGAGCCACAGCGCCACTTCCGGCTTTTTTCTTTTTGCTTATGTGGTGCTGAGGAATCGATCCCAGGGCCTCAGGCATGCAAGGCAAGCGCTCTACCACTGAGCTACCTTCCCAGCCCCTGCCTTAACATTTTTAAAGATGCATCTTGCTGTACTTGTTAGAATCCAACCTATCTGGAGATCTTGTAAGGATAACCTTGGAAGATAGTACAGGACAAGTGGAGTGGGCCTTCATCAGAATACACATGGTCCTTGACCTTGAAAATATCATCAGATGAAAATGCATTGAATACATTAGAGACATCATAGCTGAGCTCCACAGAATACCATGGTTTCGGTTGTTTCTTCTTCTGGTGATTGTGTGGCTGACTTAGCTGCAGCTCCAAAGTATCATACCACACGCACTTGTCTAGAAAAGATCAAAACGTGGGCTGTAGCTTCTGTTGACTGTGTATTGAATTTGTATCACCATAAAACCAAAGTATCTGGGCAGGGAATGTGGTTCACTGGTAGAGTACTTGCCTAGCATGCATGAAGCCCTGGGTTCGATTCCTCAGCCTTGAGCTGAAGAACTCAGGGACAGCACCCAGGCCCAGAGTTCAAGCCCTACAACCAGCAAAATAAACAAAACAAGCTGTTTCAAGTTGGAAATCATCTGTACAGAGAAGCAGTCTACAAGCATAGAAAAAGAAAATGTTGAACATCTATTTTTAGTGCATTCTAACCCCAAGATAAGTATTCAAATGTTTTTTCTTTCATGTGATTGTTTCTAACATATTTATAAGATGATTTCTTTGTTGCTTTGTATGTCCCTCCCCCACAGTATAACCCCTGCTTTCTCTGTATTTGATGTCGGTATAATTTGTGGAGGGGAAGGGGAAAAACAAATCGTTTAAATAGGGATACAGGTGGACCCATTGCAACAATGAGATGTACAAGTTGTTATGTCGAAAAACAAACTTTACAACTTTGGCGGGGGGTGAGGGGAAGAGGGGGAGAGGGGGGAGATAGAGGGGAGATGGGAAGGGGAAACAAAGGAGGAGGCAACAATGCTTGATAAGAAATGTACTCATTATCTAGCCCATGTAATTGTAACCCCTGTATACGGTATTTTCACAATAAAAATGAGAGATTGGAAAAAAAAATAGTTGAAGGGATGACACAGATCACGATGCATTGTATACATGAACTGCTTTGTGAAGTGGCAAAGAAACCAATACATATCCTAAAAAATTAAAAGTAAGGTAATGGTGAGTTGGGAGGCATGGGTGAGAAGGTTGAAAGGTGTGATATTGATCGAGATGCACTGTGTTCATAAGCTTCTTTGTTGAATGGCAACTGCTTTGTACAACTACTTAAATATTTTTTTTAAATCGGCAATGAAGTTTGAACTTGGCCTGGGCGCTGTCCTTCAGCTCTTCAGCTCAAGGCTTGTGCTCTATCACTTTTTTTTTTTTTGGTCATGGGGCTTGAACTCTGGGCTTGGGCGCTGTCCCTCAGCTCTTCAGCTCAAGGTGAGCGCTCTACTGCTTGAGCCACAGTGCCACTTTTGGTTTTCTAGTGGTTTATCGGAGATAAGAGTCTCACGGACTTTCCTGCTTGGGCTGGCTTTGAACCGTGATCCTCAGATCTCAGCGTCCTGAGTAGCTAGGATTACAGGCGTGAGCCACCAGCACCTGGCGCTCTACCACTTTGAGCCAGTGCTACTTCTGGTTTTCTGGTGGCTAGTGGGAAATAAGAGTCTCACAGAGTTTCCTGCCTGGGCTGGCTTTGAACTGCATTCTCAGATCTCAGCCTCCTGAGTAGCTTGGATTATAGGTGTGAGCCATTGGCATCTGGCTTAAATAAAAACAGTTTTTAAAAAGAATACTAACACATGCTGGGTGTTAGTGGCTTACACTTGTAATCCTGGATATTCAGAAGGCTGAGCTCTGATGATCACAATTCAAAGCTAGTTGGGGTAGGAAAGACTGTGAGACTCTTTTTTTTTTTTTTTTGTCGGTCATGGGGCTTGAACTCTGGGCCTGGGTGCTGTCCCTCAGCTCTTCAGCTCAAGGCGAGCACTCTACCACCTGAGCCACAGCGCCACTTCCGGGTTTCTGGTGGTTTATTGGAGATAGGAGTCTCACGGTCTCTCCTGCCCCGGCTGGCTTTGAACCTCGATCCTCAGATCTCAGCCTCCTGAGTAGCTAGGATTACAGGCGTGAGCCACCAGCGCCCGGCTGTGAGACTCTTTTTTGGGGTCCGGTCGTGGGGCCTGAACTCTGGAGTTGGGTGCTGTCCCTCAGCTCTTCAGCTCAAGGCTAGCGCTCTACCACTTGAGCCACTTCCGGCTTTTTTCTTTTTGCTTATGTGGTGCTGAAGAGTCTTCCAGCTTTTTTCTTTTTGCTTATGTGGTGCTGAGGAATCAAACCCAGGGCCTCAGGCATGCAAGGCAAGCACTCTACCACTGAGCCACCTTCCCAGCCCGAGTGTAAGGCTCTTATGTCCAGTTAGGCAACAAAAAAGAGAAAAGAAAAAAGATCTGGAAGTGGAGCTGTGTATCAAAATCTAGAGAGCTAACCTTGAGCGAAAAAGCTAAGTGACAGTGCCTCAGGACCTGAGTTCATGCCCTAGGACTAGAGCGCACGCGCGCGCGCGCGCGCACACACACACACAGACACACACACACACACACACACACACACACACACACACACACTACTAGCACAGAGTTTAGGCATATAATTTAGAAATATACATTTATCAAAGATACATGCTTGACTAGTTGCTCCTACCTAGTATAAGATGTATGTAGGGGAGAGAGGGAAGAGTTCTTCTTTTCAGCAAGGACTCACTATGTCCCAGTGCAATTTCATTATAACTTCGTGTAATGACTCAGAATGAAGTGATAAGGCTTTAGAAAGTGCAACACAAAAATCCCCACTGAGGGCTGGGAAGGTGGCTCAGTGGTTGAGCACTGGCCTTGCATGCATGAGCCTCTGGGTTCGATTCCTCAGCACCACATAAACAGAAAAAGCTGGAAGTGGTGCTGTGGCTCAAGTGGTAGAGCGCTAGTCTTGAGCTGAAGAGATGAGGGACAGCGCCCAGACCCAGAGTTCAGGCCCCACGACCGGACCCAAAAAAAAACCCAAACCAAACAAACAAAAAAACCCCATGGAATGGGAATGACCGGTGGAGGGAATGAGAGAAGTTAGCCCAAACACAAATCTCCTCCTCTCCCCCACCCATGCAAAACAGTCCTGGTGAGTGGCAGCCAATGTTTATGAAGGAATTTTCATCTACAGTTGTTTTCAGAAGCGAACTCAGGGATTTTTTTCTTGTTTGTTTACAGAAAGCAGAAGTGTGTCGTCAGGCCCTAGTTTACTGACTGTCTTCCTGGGAGTGGTGTGCATTGCAGCTCTGATGCTGCCTACGCTGGGGGATATGGAATCGCTTGTGCCTCTCTACCTCCACTTAAGCGTGAATCAAAAATTAGTAGCTGCTTACATCTTAGGTAAGGGTTTTCAAGATGGTTTGGGATGTATGCAGGGTTTTATGGGGGGGAGGTCTTCCTGGAAAACAGATGAAAGCTAGCAAGCATGAGGTACTGAGTTCAAAATAACACACACAGGGCCGGGAAGGTGGCTCATTGGTAGAGCGCTTGCCTTGCATGCAGGAGGCCCTGGGTTCGATTCCTCAGCACCACATAAACAAAAAGAAAAAAGCCGGAAGTGGCGCTGTGGCTCAAGTGGTAGAGCACTAGCCTTGAGCTTAAGAGCTGAGGGACAGCACCCAGGCCCAGAGTTCAGGCCCCATGACTGGACCCCCCCCCCCAAAAAAAAAATCACACACACACACACACACACACACACACACACGAGCTAGGCATGGTGACTTATGTCTAGCTTCTTGGGAGGATGAGATCCAGACCAAGCAAAGCTTGAATGACTTCTGTCAACCAGTAAAATGCTGGGCAAGACAAGAACTTGTTATCTCAGCTACTTGGGAAGCATAAACAGGAGGTTTGTAGCTAGCCTGGGAATAAATGTGACATCCTACTTGATAAATAATGAAAGTAATAAATAATGAAAGCAAAGGATTTGAGGGCATGGCTCAAGTATTGGAACATCTTCCTGTCCAGCACAAGGCCAAACACCATTATTGGCAAAAAGAGAAACAGATTAAGGATTGCTTCAAAAGCTTCTTCAACAACAGGCTCAGTGGCTTATAACTATAATCCTAGCTACTTAGGTGGAGATCAAGAAGACTACTGTTTGAAGCTATCCCAGGCCACCCCCCCCCCCACAAAGTGTGTGAGACCCCCTATCTCAGCCAACAGAAAAGCTAGGCATGGTGATTTGTGCCTATCATCCCAACTGTGTGAGAAGGATAAATAGGGTATTGGTGCAGGTCAACATAGTTTATTATTTTAAAAAAATGCACAAACAACTGAGGAATGGCTCAAGTGGTAAAGTCCCTTCCTCATAAGCACAAGAGCCTCAGTTTAGTACTTCAGGAAAAAAAAAAGCATGTTGAGATCGAGTGCATTTGAAGATTTAATCTTTGGTTTACATTTAGTTCTCTTCAATGTATTTACCTAGTAGCAAAGCCTGTATTTAACCAATTATTTTCCTTGTGCTGAATTAAATTGGAATATGACACGTATAAAATGCATATGTCTCAAGATCTAGCATTTCTGCTTGTGGAAATAAGACAGATGCTTACAGCCGGGCACTGGTGGCTCACGCCTGTAATCCTAGCTACTCAGGAGGCTGAGATCTGAGGATCGCGGTTCAAAGCCAGCCCGGGCAGGAAAGTCCGTGAGACTCTTATCTCCAATAAACCACTAGAAAACCGGAAGTGGTGCTGTGGCTCAAGCGGTAGAGCGCTCGCCTTGAGCTGAAGAGCACAAGGACAGCGCCCAAGCCCAGAGTTCAAGCCCCACGACAAAAAAAAAAAAAAAGACAAATGCTTACAATAGTGAAGATGGACAATGCAGCTTGTTTATTTATTATGAACCTTTCTCCTTAAGCCAGTTCCCTCCTCTTTTTTTTCATTGTTTTGATTATGTTGGTTTGAAATACTTTAGTTAATTATTTCAGTTGGACAAACATTTATTCAGTATTGTCCATGTATCCAGGGTGGTGGTTCTGGTGATGAATGATTCTTAGCTCTATTCTCTTGTCACTTCTATTTACTATTGACTCTCCATATTCCTTGCTGTACTCTTTTTTATTTACTTTGAAATTGTCTTCTAAATTGTCTCCTCATGATCTGGCTGTGCTTCTTCTCTCCCTTTTCCTTTATCTTGGATTCTTTTCTCCCTAGAACCGTCCATCACATGACTGTCAGGTTGACTTTCATTCTTTTTTAAAATTCAATGACCACATCATACTCTCAAACCCTTCAGTATAATGACAGTTTTGCATTGAACACAATCCCTGTATCTGTTTGAGTCCTAAATGAGTCAATATTATCTAACTGCTTCCTATATAAATCCACAACTAAAGCCTGTTGGATGATATATTGATTCAAAAAAGAAACATCTAAACTGGATGCTGGTGGATCACAGTTATAATCGTAGGGAACTCAGGAAGCTGAGATCTGAGGATCACCGTTTCTGCCCAGGTAGACAAATTCTTGAGACTCAACTCCAGTTAACCAAAAAGCTGGAAGTGAAGGTGTGCCTCAAGTGGTAGGGCATCAGTAATGAGCAGAAAAAGCCAAGCAAGGTCCTAAGTTCAAGCCTCAGTACTACCTGCGTCTTAAGTCCTACCTTCTTTCTAGGCCCTTGCTTTTGCCTTGACCTCATCTGAAGTGCTTGCCTGGCCATCTCATTGCTGCTTCCTGTCCATGTTTTTAAAGCTTTTAGTTATAAAGGGGAGGATCTCATGGTTACATCTCTTTTCCTCATGTTTACACTGTTTTCCAACTGATATTACTCTATCACACTTCCTGCTCCTCTCCTTTCCCCAAAAAGCATCTCCAACAAGTTTCCATTTTCTTTTTCTTTTTTTTTTTTTTTTTTTATTGTGAAAATACTGTACAGAGGGGTTACAATTACATGGGCAAGATAATGAGTACATTTCTTATCAAGCATTGTAGCCTCCTCCTTTGTTTCCCCTTCCCATCCCTTCCCATCCTCCCTCCTGCCCCCCACCCAATCCTCCCCGCCCCCCCACCAAAGTTGTAAAGTTCGTTTTCGACATGACAACTTGTACTTCTCATTGTTGCAGCGGGTGCACCTGTATCTTTATTTAAACGACTTGTTTTTCCCCTTCCCCTCCAAATTATACCCACATCAAATACAGTGAATTGCAAATCTATTTCAATCAAATTCAATCTCCTTCACCCTCCCTACCACTCCACTAGTTTCTACCTACAGGACAATCTCCCTCTCCCACCCCATGTTCTGTCTTTTAAGGCTTATCTCAGCTTCTCTCTCTCTCTCTCTCTCTCTCTCTCTCTCTCTCTCTCTCTCTCTCTCTCTCTCTCTCTGTGTTTTGGTCATGGGGCTTGAACTCACGTGGGGCTTGAACTCAGGGCCTAGACACTGGCCCTGAGCTCTTTTGCTCAAGGCTGGTTAGTGCTCCACCACTTTGAGTCATAGCTCCACTTCTGGTTTTCTGTGTGTGGTTAATTGGAGATAAGAGTCTCATGGGCTTTCCTGTATGGGCTGGCTTTGAGCCACGATCCTCAGGTCTCATTCTCCTCAGTGGCTAGTATTATAGGCATGACCCATTGGCACTTGGCTTCAGCTTTTATCTTTGAGAACAATCTTTCTTACAGCCCCGTCCTCCTGATAATTTCCCTTCCCTGTACTTTTTTATTTTTTGTCAGTTGTGGAGCCTGAACTGTGGGCCTGGTTGCTGTCCCTCAGCTCTTCACGTCAAGGCTTCTGCTCTACCACTTGAGCCATAGTACCACTTCTGGCTTTTTCTGCTTATGTGGTGCTGAGGAATGGCACCCAGGGTCTCATGCATGCTAGGAAAGCACTCTATCACTGAGCCACCTTCCCAACAACTCCCTGTAATTTTTTTTGTCTGGTGCTGGGATGGGACCTAGGGCTTCATGCATGCTAGGCAAGTGCTCTACTACTGCACTTCATTCTAGCCTTGTAATTAAAAAAAGTTCTAGGTACCTGTTGCTCACACCTCTAATCCTAGCTAATGAGGAGGCTGAGATCTGAGGATTGAACTTTAAAGCTAACCTGAGCAAGAGAGCCTAGAAACACTCATCTTCAATTAATCATCAAAAAGCCGGAAATGGAGCTGTAGCTTAAGTGGCAGAGTAGTAGCCTTGAGTAAATAAATACTTAGGAATAGCAGCACCCAGGCCTTGAGTTCAAGCCCTAGTATTGGGGAAAAACACAAATGTCACTTAGTTCCTTACTTACCATTCATTTAGGATTGAGCATGTCCACAACTGCTTATGGATTTTTTTCGGACAGGGTCTGTCTTATGTAGCCAGGATGGCCTCTAACTCTCCATCCTTTGGCCTCACTTCTTCTGTGCCAACCTGCCTGGCATGTTTGTGGCTTCCTATGTGGATTCTCTCAAGCAAACCAGTGTGTCTTTGTACCCCTAAAGTCCTAATGTATCAGGTACTTAATATTTCTGTTCCTGAAGTCAGCTGATTTACCATCCCTTGAAAATGGTATGTCTGCTATTGTTATAGCCAATGTGACTAGATAAAGTAGTAGTTATTGGATGGTGAAATTAGCTATGACTAGACATTAGTGATTTAATTAAATCTATCCAGTGAGTGCCCATTGCTGTAAATTTCTTCTGTATAATATCAACTAAATTCAAATTGACTTGAGTTCTTCATAGAGTGCCTGCCTATGGTGCTATATTTCATTTGCTTGTTGAGGTCCAAATAATTTCTTGTAGAAGGAAAGATTTTGTAAAATGCCATGTCTTTAACTGTTGCCTTTTTATTCTCCAATCAGGTCTTATCACAATGGCTATACTACGGACATGAGAGAAGATTTAAACTGACTTCCGGAGTAAATTTATATTGAAAATATATTGAATGTGGACTGCCTTTTATCCCTATTTCACTCCATTAACACTACAAACTGTTGAATGATTTCAAATAATTGAAAACGTATAATATATATATATATATATATATATATATATATATATATAATTACTCAGTAATTTTATTTGCGGGATTCCAGCACTTTATGTTACAGACAGTAAAGATGATTCTAAATGATAGAGGAATTATTTGAAGAGAGTCTTTTAAGTTCTGTATCTATTGTGCAAAGACTTTAATGAAAACATTTGTTATTTTCTCATCTTCTCTTCTAAATTCACTTTAATTGATAAGGTCCATATGTCCTTCAACATTAAAGGCCTAAATGAACAAACTGACTAGCTTAAAAATAAAATTGTATTTATTTGCTAGCTATGATCAATGCTACTATGTAACTTTATACCTTGCCCTCTATGGTTACAAACAGTTGTTAGAGTGTTTGTAAGAATAAGAGTTTTACAGGCACTGTGTGGAGAATTAAACACAAGTATAAGGTATTAAGGGATCATGATTATTGTAGGATCTCACAAAAAACAGGACATGTTTAATTCATCTTGTGAACTACCAAATAGAGTTGTAGTCCAGACACAAAGCATATATATAAATATATATTTATATATATATCTTACAAAAGTAGGCTGATGGCTCTGTTTGGTCTAAGAGTTCTAAAGGAAGGCAAGCATTTGTTAAATTAGTTGGCTTCGCCTGGCTTTACCTCTGGTTAATGCTTTACGTTAATGGGGGGAAATCACTAACTTTTCTTCCAAGCTCTTTGTCTGCCTGCCTCTTAAGTGACATGCCCAGATTTGGAGGATCATATGCCAGGTGGTTTGTGTGGAGATGATTTTTCACCTTAAACTCTAAGCCAAGTTTGGAAACCCCTTGATACCTGTGTCTATTTTATATCAGTCACTGATACATTTTTTAAGGTTTTATTTATTAAAACAACTTTACCAAAAAAGTCCCCTAAGCACAACTATTTACATTTCTTTATAGCTTGTTCCAATCTCTAACATACAAATATATATATATATATATATATATATATATATATATATATATGCGCAGTTTTAACTGTTTTGTCATAGCAACTGCTCTTTTGTCTTAGGATTTTTATCTGAAAGCACAATGCATTGAGTCTCTTGTAAATCAACTTTCAGATCTTTTTACAGAATGAACTTAAACCCTGCTACTGTAGCATTCTCAAGGAATAAATGTAAACACAAATGGATGCCTGAAGTTGTTTTCTGCAAGCAGCAATTCTGCTTCTAGAAGCTTTTATGTCTAGTCTTTCATAGTCATTGTTTAACCATTTGGGGGAGCATAAATCATTCAGTGGATCATGTCTGTATATTGTATAATAACTGAAAAGCACATAAATGTAATCTACTTTAACTTTGTTAAAAACCTCTGGGAGGGTCTCCCTCTTGTTTCTCTACCCATTTATTAAATCCTCTGTGTGTGAGTGTGCACGTGCAAGCGCATGCACGTGTATGTATGTGATAACACATTGTAAAGAAAATAAATTACGTTAAAACGTCAAAGAAAATGGAGACCCAAGTTTCATCAGAATTTGAACATTGTGTTCAGTTAAAACTCTGAGTTCCTCAGAGGTTAACCCACTTTAAAAACTGAAATCTCTAAGAAGGTATACCGTTGAAGACGATAACCCTGTCTACTCAATTCCCACAAGTGACCATTTTACTAGTTTGAATATACTTCTGATGTTTCAACTTTCTTTTTGCCCATCCTGGCACTTGAATTCAGGGAGTGGGCACTGTCCCTGAGCCACTTTGTGCTCAAGACTAGTGCTCTACCACCTGGGCCACAGCATCACTGCTGGTCTTTCTGAGTATTTTTATTGGAAATAAGAGTCTCAGACTTGTCTGCCTGGGCTGGCTTTGAGCCACAATCCTTAGATCTCAACTTCCCGAACAGCTAATTTTTGCAAGTGTGAGCCACCAGCACCTGACCCAATGTTTCTTCCTGGAACTATAGTCTTTATTTCTTTTGTAGTTAAGTGAGAATTGTGAATCCTCAGGGAAGTGGGGCTTGAATTGGCTTTGGATGGGTGAATTTGGTTCATATACAGAGCTGCTGAGTTCGCAAGAAAAGGCAAGGCTGAGTAGGCCACGAAGCAAGGAGAGTTGTCTTAAAGCAGTGACAAGGGACATATTGGAGACTGGTGTGTATGTGCACCTTTATTTCCATTCCACCATGAAGAAAATGTTTCACTGCCAGCAATTCAAGGAGATGAACCTAGGCTAGCGGGGAAAGAACCAAGCTAGCCAGGTATTAAAAAGTTCAGTCCAAGAAGAGGTAATGAAGTGTTGTCATGGTGAAAACAAATATGATTCATCCTAAAAGCAGCTACCAAACAGGAAACACAGCAAGAGACACAGCAATGGTTGTAATTATCTGTCACTGCAGGTGTTTCTGCCGCCTCAAAATCGTTAGACCAGCTCCATTCTTCCACCTGAGTTCACTTCAAAACGAATGGTACAAGGTCTGCATGTGATGTTTCAAATTTCTAGAAGAGATTCTGGAAGCAAGTGTCTCTTAGATATTTTCTTTTATTAACTGAGGGATTAAGTAGGAAAACTTAACAACTGCTCAGGAGATAGCTAACTGCAAGGTTCATATGGAAGTCGATACTAAGGTTTTAAAACTTGCTGTTATGAAAGAAACAGAAGATTTCAAATGCATGTAATGCCCTGACATTTAGAAAGAGCATGCTTAAAAGGAATACTTTAGAATGACAGCAAGTCAGGGGTGAAACTGGGACCCTGTGGCTTCAACAAGACATTCAAAATGGAGGAATCCAACAGAGTCGAGCTGTATTAGCCCAGCAATAGAATGTCAAGTTAGTTATTATTGCATTAGGAAAATATTTGCTACACCTATAATCTGGAAGTGATAAACAACATATCAGAGCCGAACAGGATTAAATGCCAAACTGAATAACCGAGCTGACCTAGCAAAAGGACATGAGGATGAGGCCTTCTCCAGTTACTGCATCAAAGACCCTTTCAGTAAGCCATAGGCAGAGAAAGAAGTGAACTAGAATACAGGATTGGAGAGGCTTTGTATGACCAAGGTAACAAAATGGTAACTGGACTGAAACCCAATCTGGCTGTTTTCCTTATGTTGTACTTCTAGTTATTCTTTAACTTCTCATTTGCCCACTTGGTTTATCAAAAAATCTTCAGCAAATTAAAGAAATACCTAGTCTGGACTATGGAAGCATCAGTGCCAATAAAAGTTGGGCCTAGTTCAAGGAAGATTATTGTAGGGAATTCCCAGCTCACTAAATGTATTTTCCAATTAGCTAGGAGATTGCTTTATGAGTCACTGAGCTCAACAACAGCCAAGGTGGAAATTCAGGATGTGATCCAGGTAAGCAAAGGACAGGCTATTCTAGTAAAATGGAAATAAATGATTTCATAAGAATATAGGCAAATTTTAGTCCAACAATATGGAGAAACACCAAATCTGTTTTGAAGCCTGAGCTGTGCTAATGTTAAGAAAAAAAATGTTCCAGGAAATGGAAACAAGAGGGTTTTTTTGTTGCTGTTTTTGCTTTCTTATATTTTTTTCTTGTTTGTTCATTTATCTGTCTTTGGGAGTGTAAGGGAGAGCACAGAAATGCAGGGACAAATGATGAACAAATGTAGCAGTGATACTTCGACCTTATGTTGAAAATGAACTATACGACTTGTCTGTGGAGATGGGGGCTGAGGGGAGGGGACTGGGAAAGAGCAAGGGGAAGGGTGACAATGTCCAAATAGAAATGTATTCTTTACCTGACTTATGTAACTGTAATGCCTCTGTACATTACCTTTACAATAACAATAAAAAATATTTACAAGAAAAGAAGAAAATGTGCTACACCCTGGGATGGATGGCAGAATGCAAACTTGGCATGCACATGCAGATACAACCCACAAGGAAATTGCTTTTGCCCAATCGTAAGTCACAGGAAGAGAAGAAAGGAATGGATTTGGGAATTTAAACAAAAAATCTCTTCTAAAGAACAAGTTTTGGAGGCCAATCACTGTACGAGCTAACCTGTGCTTTCTGTGGTTCTCAAACTGTAAGGAGACAGGTGTTTTCTGTTTACGGGTCTTGTTTTAAATAGATTAATTTGTAATGAACTTTTGGGTTCACAGCAAAATTGTGTGGAAAGTACAGAGAGTTCCCATCACTCACACAGCCAGCCTTTCCCACTATCAGCATCTTGTTCCACTGTGATACAATTGTTACCATCCAAGGAGCTACAAAGACACATCGTGATCTCCTAAGTCCAGTGCATAGGAGACTTTCCCTATTGGTGTAGCAATGCTCTATGGAGTTTGGACAAGTGTCTAATGCTATTTCTTCCTGCATCATACATAGCCATTTCACTACCCTAAAAACCCTCAGTTGGGCTGGAGGGGGAGGGGCGGTGGCTCACACCTGTCATCCTAGCTAACTCAGGAAGCTGAGATCTTGAGTATCGCAGTTCAAAGCCAGCTCAAGCAGAAAAATCTGAGAGACTCTTATCTCTAATGCACCAGCAAAAATGCAGAAGTGGATATAACTGTTTTATCTATTTTTTATTTTTATTGGAAAGGTGATGTACAGAAGGGTAAGTCAGGTAATGAGTATGTTTGTTTTTGAACAGTGCCACCTCTTCCCTCATTTTCTCCCAGCGTTTTTCCCTCCTGGTCCTCTTCCCCCACAAGTTGTAGAGCTCATTTTCAAAATAGTGTCTAGTGAGTATCACTGCTGAATTACTTCACCCTTTGTCCCACCATATCTGTGCTCCCCTTACCCTCCCCAAACCAGAGAAACTTACATATGAGACGAAGGGTACAGAACTAAAAACAGCAACGAAAGGGGAAAAACAGAAGAAAAAATACAAAAAGTAAAATACAAGACCTCTTGTTTCCATTTCTTGGAGTTCATCATTTTATATGAGCCTATGCACATAGCTGGCTCAGTCATTTTTAAGTGAATGACTGAATTATTCCATGGGTGACCATGTATTAAGCTCCAATTGTGCTAGGCACTTGGCAAATGATATTAAGACCCTTGCCTACTCCAAGTGTGGTCTCAGAAGCACAGGCATTACTTGTGAGCTTGAAGTAGACAAAGTTACTCCTCCGGGCAAAGGGGCTTCAGCATCCAGTTGCTGGAAAGTGCCCTCATTGGGCTGTTGCTGGAATGTGAGCTGGGGGCAGGCTAGGTGAGGCTAGCTGAATCGCTAGTGGGAAGCCCGCAAGGCATTATTATTTTTTGGCCAGTCCTGGGGCTTGAACCCAGGGCCTGGGCACTGTCCCTCAGCTCTTCAGCTCAAAGTGAGAGTTCTACCACTTGAGCCACAGAGCCACTTCTGGATGTGATGATTTCTAAACAACTGGAAAGGAATCACGCACATGGCCAGAAGTTGATGCCAGTTGTCTGACCTTTTGTATATCTGATGAGTGCCTATTTTGTATGCAACCAACCTGTATAAAACCCAGGATTTCCCCTCCCTTGGCATCTGAACTTCTTTCTCGCACTAGTCTGATTTGGATCGCCAGGAATAAACTTCATTATAAACCATTTTAATAAGTCTTGATGTTTGCTGGTGTGTGTTGCTGTAACAAGCTTACTAGGAGTGGTGTGCAGCCCAGCATCTTCACAAGATCCCCAGGTAGTTTAGGTATGTATTAAAACTTGAGAAACACTGTCTGCTGAGCACAGATACTGAAGGACTTTCTAGAAATCTCTTTTCTTTTCCCTTCCTTCCCTTTCCTTTCCCCTTTCCTTTCCCCTTTCCTTTCCCCTTTCCTTTCCCCTTTCTTTTCCTTTCCCCTTTCCTTTCTTTTCCCCTTTCCTTACCTTTCCTTTCCCCTCCTTTCCTTTCCTTTCCTTTTTTTGTCGGTTGTGGGGCTTGAACTCTGGGCCTGGGTGCTGTCCCTCAGCTCTTCAGCTCAAGGTGAACATTCTACCACTTGAGCCACAGCGCCACTTCTGATTTTCTGGTGGTTAATTGGAGATAAGAACC